CGTCACTATGTTGAATCCCCTGATCCGTAACATGATATAGATTCCCATTTATTTAGATCTGCTTTGAGGTCTTTCATCAGCCTGCTGTAGTTTTCAGCCTCCAAATCCTGTACATGATTTGTTAAATTGACGCTGAAGTATTCCTTTTTTCTTCTGAGAAATTGGAAACATTGCTGGTGTATAAAGTACCATTTTATAGTACTTTTGCATATACTTAATTTTTATCTCGTGTTTCAGCCCCCAAATTCGGATTGGTTTTCTGCCATCAGTTCAAAAGTTTATACTTTGTTCCCCATTGCTTGGAGCTCTCCTTTCCTCTTCATCCGTTTTCCTTCCTCTGAAAGAACATCTTTTAAAGGTTCTGTCACTAAGCTCTTCCTTCTAAACTTTCTACATATTTTAAGATGGTTTTCTTTTGCCCTTGCTCTTAAATGAGTCTACTTATGTAGAAAGTTCCAAACCACCATTTTCTCTCCAACTTTGATATTATTCCATTATTCTGACCTCTAGCATTGTTTTTCTCAAGTGCACTGTATATGGACGGTCTGAATAGGCTCTTCCTAATTGCCACGATGATCTTTCTCTGTGGTGTTCAGTTGTGTTTCCACCATGAAATGCCTCATTAGGGATTTAGTTTAAACCTGTTGGTAACTCATTTTGCTTTCTAAAATTTTTCTTTAATGTTTATTTTTGAAAGAGAGAGACAGAGCGTTAGTGAGGGAGGAGCAGAGAGAGAGGGAGAATCTGAAGCAGGCTCCAGGCTCCGAGCTGTCAGTGCAAAGCCTGACACGGGCCTCGAACTCACTAACCGTGAGATCACGACCTGAGCCAAAGGCAGAGGTTGTAATCGACTGAGCCAACCAGGCGCCCCTAGCTGGGCTTTTTAATTCCACATTGGGTTGTTTCAAATATTTTATTGTCATAAATGCTTCTCACTTGATATATTTTTCACTCGAGTGGCTGTTTTTTGTTTCTATAAATTTTCTGGTACTGTCTTTACACTTGTTTATTCTGATTAACACTCTCAACACTCTGTTCTATTTCTTAAAGTTCCTGAAGAGTCTAATGATCTTTTTCTCTTTTGTGCCACTTGTATTCATTTGTGGCAGGTAGACTGTTCCCTCCTATGGTTTGTACTTTGGGGAAGAAAGTTGAGCTCACTTTTGGCAGACAATTTATGCAGCCTACATTGAGGATGCCACTCTCCATAAAGAATTTGTTTCTTCCAGGGGCGCCTGGGTGGCTCAGTCTGTTGAGCGTCTGACTTCAGCTCGGGTGATGATCTCACGGTTGGTGGGTTCGAACCCTGCGTCCGGCTCTGTGCTGACAGCTCAAAGCCTGGAGCCTGCTTCGGAGTCTGTGTGTCTCCCTCTCTCTCTCTGTTCCTCCCCCACTCACACTCTGTCTCTCTCTGCCTCTTGAAAATAAATGTCAAAAGAAAAAATTTTAAAAAAAGTTTCTTCCAGGTGCTTGAGGGGCAGTCAATCCAAGGAGATGCTTGACGCATTAACTTATGAGCTTATGTGTTTCCAGGCCACATAAATAGTATTAATTCAAGATCCAAATATATATGAATACAAGCTTCCAGCTAAACAATTTCAAGGGAAGAGCTCCCTCCTCTCCCAGTCCAGAGCCCAGGCCAAAATAAGACAAGCTTCCCCCGTCCCTTCCTGAGGGGTCAGATTGTTTTTCCAGTCTACTTTGTGGTGAAGAGTGTAGCTCTTAAAAGGGTCCTGGCTGTGTAATGGTGAGTTATTTTGAGCCCCAAAGTCAGGTGTACCATGTGGGTTTTCCGTTTCCTTTTCAGTTCTCCCTGGGCACTGGAGATTGTAATTTCTTTATGGTAGGCTGGGGTTTACCATCATTTTGTTTTTTGTGTTCTTTGGCAATTCTAGGTGTTCTGAATTGTATGGAAGAAGTTGTTTTGTTTACAGCCTTTTTTTAGGTAGGCTTTACACCCAGCATAGAGCCTAACATGGGGCTTGAACTCATGACCGAGATCAAGACCTGAGCTGAGATCAAGAGTTGGACACTTAATCGAACAAGACACCCAGGTGCCCCTGTTTACAGCGTTTAAATGAAATCATGGGGGCATACAGCAACGTAGCAGACCATGGAGTCAGGCACAGCATTCTGAATCCTGCTTGCTACACATAATAGCTCTGTAACTATAGGCAAACAGTTCATCTTTCTAGCTATCAGTTTCTCCTATAAAGATAAGGTTGATGTGAAGATTATATTAATAAAGGCTATAAAACACTATTATAGTGCCTAGACTATCTCAAGTACTTAACAAATTACATTTTCACCTAAAAAATTTTTTTTAATGTTTTTGAGAGAGAGAGAGAGAGAGAGAGCGCAAGCAGGGGAAGGACACAGAGAGGGAGACACAGAAACCGAAGCAGGCTCCAAGCTGTCAGCAGAGCCTGACGCGGGGCTCGAACCCACGAACTGTGAAATAGGACACTTAACCGACTGAGCCACCCAGGCGCCCCTACATCTTCACTTTTTAATAATTTTTACAAAATAAAATGGTATGTTGTTAGGAGTGCAGATGTATGTCATGTTTCTACTTTTACCTTTTTTTAAACTTGGGGCACCTGGGTGGCAGAGTGGGTTAAGCATCGGACTTCAGCTCAGTTCATGATCTCATGGTTTCGTGAGTTCGAGCCCTGCATCAGGCTCTGTGCTGATAGCTCAGAACCTGGAGCTTGCTTCAGATTCTGTCTCTCCCTCTCTCTCTGCCCCTTCCCTGCTCGTGCTTGCTCTCTCTCAAAAAAAAATTTTTTTTAATTAAAAAAATAAAAGTAGCAATAAGACTGATTCCAACAGTAGACACATTTCCCAATTATTTATATATACATAAGGCACTGCTATTATCTGTCAATAGAGTAATAATACCACACTCTGACCACATCTGTGAACACAATAGTTTAAAAAGGATGATGAAATAAAGATTATCACATGAAATAAGGCACAGCTGTGAAGTCACAAAGAGTTGAGGTTGCACACAATGTTTTGGTCCAGAACCCACTTACCCATCAGGGTTGTCCAAAAATAGAACAAGCTGCTTCACAAAAAGGGTACTGGTCGTTTTAAGTATTCAAAAGCAGAAAATGAAGGACCGCTTAAGAGCCACAACAGAAAGGATTCCTTTATTGGGACATGCTAGAAGTTAATGGTGAAATAAAAGGAGAAAAAACTATTTGGATAACCGTCTCATGACACTAATTTAAAAATACCATGCCTACTGCAAATAAGGAAGAGACTGGCAAACCCCAAACCAAACTTAAGTAGGTTAAAAACACTGAAAACCAAACTTCAGAATTTTTTTTAGGTCATTAAAATTGAGGGATGCCTGGATGGTTTGGTCGATTAAAAACATTTGACTCTTAATTTCGGCTCAGCTCACAATCTCAGGTTGTGCGATTGAGCAAGGAACCTGCTTGAGATTTTCTCTCTCCTTTGCTCTCTGCCCCTCCATTTGCTCTCTCTATCGACAAAAAACAAAAATCTTAAAAAAAAACTGAGTAACAAGAGAAGCTTTTCTCATGCCTAATTCCATTCCAGGCTAACCATACCATCATTAAAAATTCTCTTCTGAATATGTGTTCTTATGATTACATTGTCATTTTCCCCCTCTTCAGTACAGATGGCCACTTGAAGGTAAATCCAAATATTAAACACAGTATTTGAAAAAGGAGTCACAGAAAAGTCAGAATTAAATTTTATTTCACATTGGTAGAAACCATGAAAAAGATTTACATCGTCCCACATAACAGCACATTTCAACAGAATATTTCTTGCCATAAATTAGATCTTGTTGATTTATATAACTGAAACAACAATTTATATTCTTCAAGGTAAAGCAAAATGACTTAGTAAATGATTGTTTAAAAATTTTAAATCCAGACATAAACATATGGCTTCATTATTAACATTCTGTACAATCCATTACTAAATTATTTCCATTATCAATTAGCACCCATTTATAAAGATGCATCCCTAACACTGTTTTAGTCAGTTGGAATACAGCAGAAAAATTAACAACAGATCAGAAATATCAAGTGTACATTTTTGCTACATATTAAACTGTGGTAACTACACCATATGTATTGAGTTGTGATTCATTGTTGTCACCCATACACGTTTTCAAATAAATTTTACCAATAATCTGAAAAATTCAACTATGTAAAATCAAATAAAAAAAAAAAACATCTGACTAAAGTGAAGTCTTCAAATAAGTCCATTGGCAGATAAAAATAAAGCAAATTTTTCTAATGGATTGTTCATTTCCTACAGTAGTTGGTTTCAAACATATGTACAAAACAAACTAAAACTATGCTACGAAGAGAATCATCTTAGAGCAAATCATCTTAGAAATTACAGTTTTTAAAATCTGTCTTAAATATTCGAGAACATACTAGAATATGACGTAATTACCCTTCCATTAATTACAGAAAAATACAACCACAGAATTATTCCAATTATCTAGACTGAAGATTCTAATAACTATATCGGTCTAACTTTGGACTAAGTAAGGTATAGTTTAAGAAGTAAGTAGTGTAGGAAGTTTAAAGTGATGTCAGGTGTCTTTATGTAAGTGTAAATACATTTAAAATACCATCAAATCTGTGATCCAGAATGTCAAATTACAGCATGTATTGGCAGGAGAGGTCTACAGCAAGGAGCCAATTGCCAAAGCCATTTGGTCTTTTATGAAGGATAAAAAAGAAAACACCTTTCTGGAGAGGAAAAAAACCCTTAAATAGAAATGATATCAGGGAAAGTAAAGCCTGGTCCCCAAAATAAAAGGGCCATTAACTGGAGAGAGCAATATTACTCTTTACTGACACTTAGAAGCATTACTCCCGTTACTGGGAATAATGCAGTAACACCTCACTCTCATTATGTAGTGCAATCATTAAGTATGTAAGGAACACATATATAAAAATACAGATAATGCATGGTGTCTACATTTTGGACTAAGTCACAAGATGCACAAATAATTCATATCCTAACTGTTCCTTTATACCTGAACAAATTCTCATTAAGCATACTGATAATTTTCAAATGATGTAATAAAAAATCTGGTTACAGTATTTTATTATTTTGCTGAATTACATTTGGGAAAAAGTCAGCTGCTTCACCTATTTTAATACTAGTATATTCTGAATCATACAAATACACGTATAGAAACTTAAAAGACCATTATTTCCCACAAGGAGATATTATTACGTAGTCTGTGTTATCGGTGCGTATTTGCAAAACATTTTAACACTGCAAACTTCCGAAGTTTCAAGATTGGGCACGGGAAAAGGTTTCTACACTACTACAACGATGCTGGTGTGTACTTCGACACAAGGCCTCTTAGTGACGTCAATCAATTGGAGGTAGAAGTTTATCAATGAATTGCTTGATATCCATCATTTCCTGTTTGGAATAAAGTGATTTAACAAGCTGTTACAAAATCAGAAATTAAATCCCCACTAAAATACCACCAAATAAATCTGCAGTGTGCCTAGGTAAGGCGAAACCACATTTTCACTTCTATTAAATGAAAAGTTGTAACAGAGAAATGAGGCTACGATAGAAATTTCAGAACATTTCCCGTGACTATGATGATTATTGTACGTTCAAATGATAGTTCCCAACTATTTTGAGGTCCCATGAAAATGGTCTGCACTTTGCTCTACTTGAACAAAACACTGGGGCTGAGTGCGGACAAAGGGCCTTAGGAGTGACAACACCCATCCCGAGAAGTATCAGTAAGGATACAATTACTGTCAACTAAGCTTGGGTGGAAAAACCTAGCTTTTAGCCTTCCCTCATTAGAATGAAATGCTAAATCCATTGCATAAAATATTTTGTGCCTTTTATCTCTTCTTTCTGCTCCTAATCATTCAGTCCAGTGTTCTCCAATGTGATTGCAAAGAATCATCAGCTTTTATTTTACTTTTTTTTTCCTTTGTATGTAAGCTCTACGCCTGACATGAGACTTGAACTCATAACTCCAAGATCAAGAGTCACATGCTTGGGGCACCTGGCTGGCTAGTCAGTAGAGCATGAGACTCTTAATCTTGCGGTTTTGAGTTCAAGCTCCTCACTGGGTGTAGAGATTACTTAAATAAAATCTTAGAAGAGTCACATGCTCTACCAACTGAACCAGCCAGGTGCCCCAATAGAGCTTTTTTTTTTTTTAACGTTTATTTATTTTTGAGACAGAGAGAGAGCATGAACGGGAGAGGGTCAGAGAGAGAGGGAGACACAGAATCTGAAACAGGCTCCAGGCTCTGAGCTGTCAGCACAGAGCCCGACGGGGCTCCGAACCCACGGACCACGAGATCATGACCTGAGCCGAAGTTGGACGCCCAACCGACTGAGCCACCCAGGCGCCCCTAGAGCTTTTATTTTAAAAACACATCTATACAAACACAGATACCTGAGTTTACCTGCTAACCCCCAATGTGCTGAATCAGAAATGCAGAGTTTGATTGGTGGCTCAGTCGGTCAGACATCCGACTTCAGCTCAGGTCATGATCTCATGGTCTGTGGGTTGGAGCCCCGTGCTGGGCTCTGTGCTGACAGCTCAGAGCCTGCCTAGAGCCTGCCTGGGATTTGGTGTCTTCCTCTCTCTCTGCCCCTCCCCAGTTTGTGCTCTCAAAAAAATAAAGGTTAAAAAAAAAAAAAAAAAAAATCCGGAGTTTGAAGTTCTGGTGTCTGCATTTCTATTAGGCTCCAGGGTATTTGTAATGTAAAGCCTACTTTGAAAAACACTGCTCTAAATGTGGATGGAACTGGGGAGTGTGATGCTAAGTGAAATAAGTCAGGCAGAGAAAGACAGACACCATGTTTTCACTCATATGTGGATCCTGGCTCCTGAGAAGACCATGGGGGAGGGGAAGGGGAAAAAAGAGAGAGGGAGGGAGGCAAACCATAAGAGACCCTTAAAAACTGAGAATAAACTGAGAGTTGAAGGGGGGTGTAGGGAGGGGAAAGTAGGGGGTAGGCATTGAGGAGGGCACCTGTTGGGATGAAGGAAACCACTGGTGTATGTTGCCAATAAATTTCATATAAAAAAAAAAAAGAAAAAAGAAAGAAAACCACTGCTCTAGACCCTCAGTCCCTCCTGGATCCTGAGTGTCAGCCCACCTGCTTTCTGGATTCAAAACTTGCTGACAGTTTCAACTATGTTCTCAATAACACCCTAGAATCCTAGGCCCCCTTGTCTTTCTGGATAAATCATATTAATACCTCTTTTCTCTGCCCCTAAAGCAAATGATTCAGACCCACTCAGTGGTTGCAAAGCTAAGTTAAGTTGGACTACCTTAACGATGGGTAATCAGTTTTTATTCTAGACCTTTTCAAGCCTCCAAACCAATGCAGGCCTCCTTCACTCTTACCAAGTGACCATATCTCCCACTTTACTGAAAAGACAAAGAAGATCTCAAGTGAGCTCTCAACTATTACCCACCTCAACAATCCTTGTTTATATTCATCCATCCTATTCTAGATTCTTAAGTGATGTTCTCCTCTTTGAAGGCAAGCACTACCCATTTTAGGGCTTTAAACTACATTATTATTTGATCTCCCTAAGATTCTCTCATTAGATTATTATCTTCTCTTCACTTCATTTTCTCCCTCCTTCTTCCCCACCCATGGGAGTCTTTTTCTCCCATTGACTAAAGAGCCTTCCTACTCTTTCCCCCTTTCACAAAAACCTTTTTAATAAAGGTCCTTATCCCTATCTAGTTCACTCAATCCACTGCAGGCTCCATTTCCAAGCATCCAAGGTCACAGATGGCTTACTATGGGATAGTTTCTTCCTGGCCTGTTTTTCCTTAATTGTTCTCTGAATCATGGGACACTCTTCCCTTCCACTCTGAAATTCTTTTTTTCCTTAAATAATTTAACGAATTAAAAAAAAAAGTTTGCACACGTATGTACGTATATATGTATGCAATCTCTACACCCAGCTTGGGGCTCAAACTCAAAACCAGTATCAAGAGTCGCAACACACTCTTCTGACTGAGCCAGCCAGGCACCCAACCGCTCTGAAACTCTCTCCTCTCGTACTCTCATTCAACACCTAACTCCTTTCTAATCGTACCCCCCTCAAACAAGTTCTACCCCTCAGCTTTTTTCCTGATATTCCCCCATGGTAATTCTTCAGTGATCAATAATATTGGCCATTATTCTAAATCTCTATTACAGGCCTGAGCTCCAGACAAGTATTTCCAACATCCCATTTTGCTATGATGGGGGTACATCAATCTCAGTACGTTCACTAAACTCAATCATTATTGTCTCCTCCGTTACCCTAAAACTCTTCCTTGTAACTACTTTATGAGGACACCCAGCTTTTCATGAGACTATGGCCCAACTGGTCAGCTTGCTTTCCCTACCCCACAGTCCTTTCTTTGTACACCTGCTATCCAAATCCTACCCATTCTTTCAAATCCAGCTCTTCCTTCATGATCTCTGTACTTCCCCAAACAAAAGGAATCTCAGCTTTTCTCAGTTTTCTAGAATGCTTTTAAAAACTTCTAATATAACACGTATCACATTCTGCTTTCTACACATTTGGATATATACCCTTCTCCCCTATTAAATTTTAATTAATTTAGCTTAAATTGCAATAAAAAGGACTGTTTTTTATTTGTCTTTGAATTATGCACAAAACTTGCATGTAATAGGAAAAACAGTGAATATCTGTTGAATCAAATTGAAGAAACTCTAAGTCCTCACCTATGATTCAATGTGAATTCATTAATTAACTCCTTTAAATACCCAAGGAATCAAATGCTACTTAAGTTAAAAACATCACACGGAAAAGTGGTAAATATGTCTCTGCTTCCAAACAGTTACCTGCTGACATGAGCTGTGCATCATGCCTTGGTAGGTTTTGAAGGTTACATTGGCTGGGTTTACTAACATTTTTAGCTTTTCAGAAGTAAGAGAAGCAATCATTAGGGGAACTAAAGGGTCGCAATCTCCATGGCACTGAAGAATAGCAATATCTCTATTAACGCCACTGATAGGACCCTGCAAAAAAAAACACAAAAAAACCAGTATCATTTATTCAAATGTATAGAGCATTATGCCAGGCATTTACAACTGCAGATAGATATGCACGTACATATGTTATTACTTACATCACAGGTTCTATTCGGCCACGGGAATAAAATTCCTTCCATCCCTATGCTCCCCACAACTCTTTATTTAAACTTTTACAGGACAGGGCAAGTGGGTGATGGGCACTGAGGAGGGCACCTGTTGGGACGAGCACTGGGTGTTGTATGGAAACCAATTTGACAATAAATTTCATATAAAAAATAAATAAAAAAAATAAACTTTTACAGGACACATGATTATCCTGTCTTGTATTATTATTTTGCCAACGAACTGGTTCCTTGAAGCAGACTGTATCTTAATTATTCTTTATTATATTCAGTGTCTTGACAGGAGAGGTACACTTTAGCTGGATCTTATTTAATTGATTTAAATAAGACGGTTAATCAGCAGCACTTACTACGTGTAAGACACCAAACAAACGCTATATAATGATAAAGAAAAAAAATCCTAGATTTAAAGATGAACCTGAAAATAAATGTCCACACCTCCCATGTGTGTTATATACTGCTTTACACTATAGAGTACTTAGAAATTATATTCTATGGTAAAATTCTGCTAGCAATCAATAAGAATATTGAATATTTAAAAATGTTATTTCTATGTGTAAAAAATTCCCCTTTTATAAGTATCTTAAAATGTATCAAACACTTCAAATAGAAGATTTGTGACAAAAGGACTTCTTTTTTACCCCATTCTATGCAATCTACAGTAAAGACAGTATAGTATACAGATCACAAAAGTCTAGGAAAATCCTTTTTAAAAAAGGATGATTGATGTAAACTACGGGCTTTAGGTAATAATATTGTGTGTCAGTGTAGGTTTGCTGATTATCAAAGACGCACCACCACGCTGCGGGGTGTTCACAAGCTGTGCACGTATGGGGACAGGGGACATGTGGGAACTCTGTGTGTTTTCTGCTCAGTTTTGCTGTGAACCTTAGCTGCTCTAAAAATATACAGTTTATTAATTAAAAAAAAAAAAAAATGACCCTCTCACAACATTATCTGCCTTAACTCAGTAATCTTATGCTGCAAGTTTCAATCAGGCTACCTGTGGAAATGAAGCCCGTAGTGGAAGCCAGCAACTGAGGGCAGTGACTCCTGCCAGTTTCTGCTGTGTGGTAAGAGCAGTGTATAAAGATAAAGCTCCTCCCTGGAAAGACAACAGAGAGAGTCAATGGAACACATGCTCTGCTAACAGCAACTTGATTTCTTGTTATTAATAATGTCCATTAAAGAAAAAATCAACCCGGGTGACTGATGTCAAGTCAGATCAGACAAGCTCCTAGAAACACAAACACCCCACTCCACCATGTCCTAAAGGATAAGATTCTCTACATTGAAGATCACTGTGAGAACACAGGGACCACCCAATCAGTTGAGAAAGAGTTAACAGTATATTTGCACTTACAGATGCCTTAGGAATATTCTAAACTTAGTTACTTATTTTCTCCTCTGAAAAGTCTTAGGTATAAAATCAAATCTAGTTGTAACTTGGTACTCTTTTCTAAAAAATTCAAGACAATAAGGACCCTGTAGCAGATACCTTTAGAGTATCCACCCCAGCTTAAATACCCTGCACTCTGGGAACTGTATTCCTGTTAGTCACCTGGATGCCATGTCACTCTGACCATCCCCACGGGTCACCGGGGCCCATAAGAACATGAGATTCCAACTCATCCGAGACAGTCAAGTTCTTTTTCCCAAGATTTTGAAACTGGAACTCAGTGACTGTGAGTCTGTCTCTGTGCAGCTGGGATGGTAACATGTAAACTCAAGAACTGGCAAAGTTATAGGCTGCGACGGCAGAAAAAGCCAACTCTAGATGAACAGGCAAAGGAAGCAGATGGGCAGAGAAACAAGGAAGATGGAGAGAAAGTCATGACGGCTCTCCAAGTCTTAGATATTTCCTGAGGCCTTGCTTCATTCTCATCCTTGACTTCCTTGACGTGACCCCACGGACTCATAACTTGCTCTTTCTGGCTTACGGTACTAGGAGTTGCTTTCTGTAATCAATGAATCCCAACCACATAGCCTCCTATGTTAGCTTCCTACTCGAATCAAGCATTCATTTCTATACCTATATTTATGGCACAATGTGTATTACAATAGACATTATCTTGAACTTCAATAAATATCAAATCAGTAACATCTTTTTTACCATATTGAATCAATAAACTGTCTACTAGATTTTAACTTCTAAATAATTCCGTAATTAATTCCATAATTCTAACATTGCCCAAATTCAGGTATTCAGTCTGAACACTAAGTTGTTGATTTAGAAGATTCACAGATTAGAAGCTACAGCAATGTGGGGATAGGTGAAATAAAGACATAAGGTCAATATGAGGTAACTACATCTGCAGAAAAAGTATAGAAGGTAGGAGAAAAAGTATAGAAAGAAGAAGATACCAAAAATAAACATCACATATTTAAGTCTAAAATCTATTTTACAAGATGAAAAGAAGAAAGATGACAGAGTGACGTCACCAAGATGGGACACAGGTCATTCCTAACTTTGCTCCCTCTTACAAGAACTAACATCTAATCATGGACAGGGCACCACTGAGAGAATCCTAGCACACGGAGGGGAGGCGGAGGCACCCCTGTCCCACAGAGACCAAGAAAGATCACACTGGAAGGGAAGAGAAGTGGTTACACGCTGACCAGTGCAGCGCCACCCAGAGTCTCCCCGGAGCCTCCAGTTCCTCCAGTGGGAAGAAAGAACGCAACGGGGACAACCAGCATCCCCAGCATTGTGGGTCACTTTGTGGGAGCCCCTACTTAGATCTTGTCTCAAGGGGATTGCAGGGGGAGTCTATGGGGCTCAACCACCGGGAATCTGTGACAGAAAGAGAGAAGAAATTCTCCTGTCTTCTAATGTATTGTTCCTATCAGTAGTCTCCTCCTAGAAGAGGGGAGTTATACCTGTGTTTAAATTAGAGTTTTGTTTAAAGGGGTACATAGCATCAACTTAGAAACCTAGCTATGTGCGTATTAGTATTTTAAGAAAATACATTCCAAGTTCCTATCAATTTGCCAAATAAATTTATTTTAAAGATATAATTTAGAAGGGAAAGGCAATAGCTGAAGAGAGAAAACTAGAAAAGCAAAAGAGAACACTCTTGTAATTAACTACATGTAATCCATTTGAACTTAATTCAGCATTAGCAATAGTGTAACAGATTCTACAACATCTACTAAAAAAAAAAAAGACTCCTCCATAGAAAAGGATGGAAACCACAGATTTTCTAGATAAATATACCAATGACATATCACCCAAACTTTACCTTACCTGAGAAAATCCTCCCAAAATAATTCTGTTAGAAGGAATGCCATTCTTCATCTCTTGCTCTATCAAAGCTTTTACTAAAAACAACATAAAATTAAATCACCAATACTGTAAAAGTTAAGCCTGATACCATTTTAAACAGGATAAATTAATTACAGAAAAGCACAAGGTATGTTAAAGGTGAATAATACGTGAAAAACTTGAAGCACTCTATTAAAATATAAAAGGAGGATGTATTTTCATTATAAAACTCATATTTGGCAGGTGTTGCTTAAATAGTTCAATTATTTCCTTTTTTTTTTTCTTCTTTTTTTAAGATTTTATTCTTAAGTAATCTCTATACCCAATGTGGGGCTTGAACTCAACCCTGAGATCAAGAGTCGCATACTCCGCTCTTTCAACTGAGCCAGTGAGACACCCCTGTCCAATTATTTATGTCATTTGTAAACAAAAGTTCTTTCTCTTACCAATCAATGGATATTCTTTTACCTGCGTCAATTCTGCCCATATACATTCTATATTTCTCTCTCTTCAATGAATCATAGGAATTTGTACCTCAAGTTGCCATTTTAAATCCTAAGAAATGTAGATTACATGGTTTGTGATTTACAGTGTTTATAAAGTTCATTCTAGGGGTACCTGGGTTGCTCAGTCAGTTAAGCATCTGACTTCAGCTCAGGTCATGATCTCGTGGTGCATGAGTTTGAGCCCCACATCAGGCGGTCTGCTGTCGGCATGGAGCTTGCTTCAGATCCTCTGTCCCCCTCTCTCTCTGCCCCTCCCCTGCTCGCACTCTCTCTCAAAAATAAACATTTTTGGGGTGCCTGGATGGCTCAGTCGGTTAAGCGTCCGACTTGGGCTCAGGTCAC